CCACGTGCCGAGTCCGGCTGTCACCCTGGATGCAGCTACCTCCTTGAAGAGCCTCGTGGAGGCTCCACTCCACCAGACCTGCAGCCTGGACCCGGCCATCAGCCACCCCTCCGCCTTCATCGTGTGGAAATCCCAGGTAGGATGCCCCCTTCCTGTCTAGGGTTGCCAGGTGTCCGGTATCTACCCGGACAGTCCGGTATTTTTGCCTCCTGTCCAGTAAAAAAAATTCAGAGAATACCGGACACCTGAGATGTCTGGTATTTTCTGATTTTTTTCCACGACCAGGAGGCGAAAATGCCGGGCACCCGGCAACCCTACAAACACCCAGCGCCCGGCCTCCCCCTCCCAGCTCAAACTCCCCCAGCCCTCAACACCCCAGCCCCCATGCTTACCTGGTTCCACAAAATGGCTGCCAGCCAAAAGACCTAGGGGAAGCTCCCCTGTTCCTATCCATGCACTGTCTCTTAAAGGCTTAAAGGGGACATGCTGTTTTAATGCTGTTTTATTTTAATTTTTTTTTGGCTTAAGTCTTGGAGTCCTTTTGTTTTTGATCAACTTTGGTTCCCCCCCCCCTTTTTTCTCCCTTCAGCAGAATTTTTTCCCGGTGTTGTTGGGTTTTTTTGGTGGGGTGGGGGGGTGGCCAAAATTTTTTTTGGCTTGGGGCAGCAAAAAACCTAGAGCCGGTCCTGTTTTTAGAAGAAAAGATTAAGAGAGACAGATACTATAAATGTTAAATCTAAATGGAAAGTTTAGACCACGAAAAGTTATTACTGTCCTTGGGATTTGTGAAGATCTTTGCCAAAGAAACATTGGAGAGCAGGTAAGATTCACTTTCAGGCATCTCTAGCAGATAATTTACAGCTGCTGCGTTCCATGGCAAGCTGAGTGTATACGAGAGCTGGATAGTCAGTTAGTGAGCCTTTTTGGAAGAGGGGTCAAAAAACAAAATTAAGAAAAAAAAGAAGCCTGGCTCAGGGGTTGGGGTACTAGCTTAGGACTTGGAAAACCCATATTCAGTTCCCTGTTCTACAGCATACTTCCTATGACTCCGTCCCTTGGTTCCCCATCTGTAAAATAGGGATATGGTACTTCCTGCTTTAGGGAGATGTTGCAAGGATAAACGCATTACAAGATGTTTAGCTGTTACAGTAAAGGAGACCATATACCTAAAAGAAAAAAATACACAGTTCAAAGGATCATGTCAGAGGTTCTGACAAGCGCCTTGATTCTCTTTTACCCTTCGTCTTGACATAAATGCAAACTGTGGGTAAAACACTAACAATTAAGAGAGGAAGCATTTTGCACTGGTATAAATGGTTGCACAAACATAAGAACATAAGAACGGCCATACTGAGTCAGACCAAAGGTCCATCCAGCCCAGTGCCCTGTCTGCCCACAGTGGCCAATGCCAGGTGCCCCAGAGGGAGTGAACTGAACAGGTAATGATCAAGCGATCTCTCTCCTGCATCCATCTCCACCCTCTGACAAACAGAATCTGGGGACACCATTCCTTACCCATCCTAGCAAATAGCCATTAATGAACTTAACCTCCATGAATTTATCTAGTTCTCTTTTAAACCCTGTTATAGTCCTAGCCTTCACAGCCTCCTCAGGCAAGGAGTTCCACAGGTGTGAAGAAGAACTTCCTTTTATTTGTTTTAAACCTGCTGCCTATTAACGAAATGCAGAACAATGGAGATTGGAGACAAGTAAAATAAAAATTCTTGTCTCAAGTTCATTGGACAGCTCCTAATCTGAGTTTGCATCATTGCTTCCAGGCTCAAGTAGTCTTACATGACCTTGTGGTCTCTCTATTGACGAGTTAGCAAAGCACGCAGAGCCCCTGGAAGAGAGACACTGGCATGAGTTCATCTCCACAACAGACTCTCTCTTTTTATTCCTGAAAATGGGCACACAGGCACCTCCCCCAGGGTTGCAGGTCCAAACCATTCCATACTATTCCTCCAACATCTGATCAGACTTAGTTGCTAATGAAGGGGGAAGGTGGAGGGAGCCACACCCTTTGTCCCATCTGGAAGAGCCATACCCTTTGTCTGTGGGTATTCAACACAGAGAAATACATCTAGCACAGTGAGATATGTAACTGGACTGACATGGATTTCTTGTCCTCAGTGTGATTCAAAGACGTGGAATAGCTGCAAATAATTTGAGTCTAAAATGTAGTTCCTTTTAATTTTAAACTTTAAGGAATGCTGCACTATTTTCCAGAATTCTATATATAAAACAGCTGATTGATGTTTTTTTCTAGCATTGTCTCCAAAACTCGTATAGATAAGGATAAGGAAAGGTTTTCAGCCTGATATGACAATTCTTAAACTAAGAGCCTAGAGTCGCAGAACAAGCTCAATAAATGTGAAGCTTTATTTTGTTTTCATTGGTGATCCCATTTTTAAAAGAGCAGAAATGTTCATGTAAGATTATTGACTAAGGATAGTTTGTCTCTTGCTGTTGCAACGTTTCTGGTGGCAGTGCTTGTCAAACTGGGTATCCAGGTTCATTATTCCTGACATTTTCTCCATGATGCTATGAGCTACTTGAAAGGATCACAGTTTAAAATGCTAATCACCTTCTATTGCATGGACATATGAACTGAATACAATGAAATGCAACACTGGGCTATATCTGTTGTGGAGGGTTTAATCTGAG